TTTCGACTCCGTGAAGTATAAAGTCAGCATAGCTGATATCGTTTGCCATCGGAAACTCATAACCATTTTCGAAAACGTCCTTTGTTGTCACGTACGCATTAGTATGCTCTGGCGATATCATATATAAGGCGCTTTCAGATTGGTTGATACATTGACAGAACAAGAAGGTCGGAGGAATGTTCTTATCAGCAGCATAAATGGCAAGGAACAACGACTCAAAAGCCTCCGATCGAAGATTTCTCTACTGATTACGGTGCGCGAACTGTATGGCATCCGATAAGTGCCCGGTCAGGGGACGGGGATGTGATATATTTAGCTTCGAATTTTTTCGTTCTTTGCTTATGGCATTTTTCGGCGTTGTGTCTTCTGTTTTTTGTTTTACTTTTCTCCTAAAAGAGTTTGAATTGCTGTTGTTGCAGGCAGCCAAACCTGTTCAAGAGGCTCTAGGAGTTGGAAATGCTTCGGCTTCTTCTGCGGAACAGCGAGCTCTTTTTTCTTTGCTTCCGCACGATTTGTCGGTTCTATATGTACAAGCAGAGGCCTATAGAGATATCATGGAAGGTAGTTTTCAGCTCTTCACTTTTTAAGGTTCTGAGGAACAGAGAAAATTCATCGATTCGATTCCTCATTCGGTACACTCATCAATAAGCTCGTCAATAAGCATACTTCTTGTTTCATCACACTTTGGCACCGCTACGATTCTGAATACAAGTCGATGCAGGGGCGCATCCCATGAACGTTACCTTGACAACAGATTGGTATTAATCACTATCCACCAGTTATATTTCACGTCATTCCACTGAGGTTCCCTTTTCGAAATTTGAATGCTCGAGGTTTGATGGAAAAGGATATCATATAAAGAGGCGCACACATGTAAACAATAACTAAGGCACACTTAACCAACCATGTTGGTTAAATGTGCCTAAGTTATAAATCCACCAACCAACCAACCAACCAACCACAGGATTTTTTTAGTCAGCGCTTCGCGAAATGTGGCGATTCCCTTTGTAAAAAAGAATTCTCGCAGTTCACATCTTAGTTGCTCTTATAAGTTCATCTTTTAGTATTCCGTTGCCTGATTTATTATTTTTAGATACAAGCTTACAAGTGGTAATTCGTGGAGATGCAAGTGAAGCGCTGCGCTTGAGAAGACGGCAAAAGGAGGAGGTTGAGGAGAAGGAAAGAAGCGACGATGAAGGTCCTGTATACGCGGCGATAACAACGGCTATTTGGCGAAGTTACNATTTTTGCAGAAGCCAGTGACAATGATGAACGACATAGTGTTGTGACTGATCGCCTTGAATTGAACAAAAAAGTAGTGACTCAGCCACATCCAATTTATTTGAAGATCGATATAGCATGTCAGGGTATGCACTTTATACCTTTTAAATTTTGTGAGAACTGAACGAAGGGAACTGCACTGACATGGTTTAGATGATGTGAAGGTTGCTTTGAAATTGTTCTACCTGCCAGAGTTGCGAGTAACGTGCATGAAGTACAAAGTAACTGGAAAATTGCCCACTCATGGGTGAGTTTTTTGTCGAATGTTGACAGGGTTAGAACAGCCTTAGGTCATGCACTCTTTGTAGATATTTATTTTAACTTTTCAGTGGTGTATCCGCACATGAAAACCTGCTTGATTCCCTGTTCCCTGGCGATGATGGAACGGAATGCCCTAATCCCATTGGAGCAGCGAAATTGGCTCAATTAAAGTATGTCTTTCTCAGATATTAAATTAATTTAGCGAGTTTCCGACGTTTGTCTGAGGCTTTTGTCTGTTCTCAAATATTGAGTCGTCGAATGGTCGGGCTCTCCATTCCTCTGTGCTACAGTCGGAAGGCTCTGCTGACGCTTGGCACTCCTGCTTTCCTTTGAAATGAAAAGATCTACAGCTAACCGATATTCGTCATTTCCCTTTGATCGAATTTGATTGAATGACGCTGAAGCATGATTTATTGCATATCTAAGCGCCTCATATCTAGAAGGAGCTAAGCTGTGTCCATAGAATCTTTCTCACTAAAAATTGTATTACTGTCGTTCTTACATTCGTCCCTCTTTACTTCTTGCTGCTTTCCTGTACTTCCTGCTTACAGTAGAAATTTATCCTCCATTCCTTCGGAAGCTTCTGAGGTTTTTAAACAACCTTACCCCGCCTAGTTAGAAAATTTGCTTTTTTTCATTCTGCTACCCTCCGGTCACTTTTTACTCGGGCATTGAAACGTTTCTGAAAAGGGCTGTCTATTATGGATTTCAGCTCCGCCCACCGGTGGCTAACCCGCGTACTATAAAAACAACAGAGTAACGCTAGGGTCAATGTGCGCCGAGCACCGCTTGATGCTTATCCCACTTTAGCTCCTTCCCACCTCTAGCCACTTCCTCTCGACTCTCATCCCCATGACTTGTCTTAGTTGAGCAGCCGCGTAACCACACCTGCACAACAAAGGCACTGATACAGGAGGGCAGGTATTAACCTTTGACGACAGCACGCCTTATTGCGTGTCTGGCGCGCGGGACAGACGCATTTCGAAGCTTTCCGCTTCTGCGGCTCACCATTGAGCCGTGCTATCGTCAAAGGGTTAATACGACTGATCCTAAAGTGACCTATTCCTTATTCCAGGATCGGTGTAGATTCATTCGCCAATAAGTATGGCCGCCCATACCGCTTTGTGCAGGCGTTGACAGGATCAGCTTCGCTAACTGGCGGAGATCCACCATCGAAAGCCGACATAAGTGGCGTACAATTGGCTGATGTCCTACATGATGTTGTGAGAGCTATTCGCGATCGTGTTGGGGCGCGCGTGAAACTCGTCCGTCAATTAGTCGAATTAGGCAGGTGTCTTTACGTTCCGTTTTATTGTTGAATGTTGTCCTTGCGTGAAATTAATCAGATGTGCTACACTTGAATAAGACAACACTTTAGAATCTTCACCTATGGACGCTATACGGTCATTTGATGTGCCGTTAAAGATGGTGACACAGATTGCCTCCTTCAAGATGATCGATGAAGAAACGTTCATGGTAAGCTTCGTGAGCGAACAATTTCATATGAGGGATGCTCAGTGCTTTCATCAGTACCTTAAAGTTCTCTCATTCTAATCTTCATATAGAACTTACAAAGTTTTACAGTCATCCGTGACGCCGAATCTGAGGATGCTTGCGACTCGAGAGAAAGGAGCGTTCTTCTTTTTAGCAGTTTTGGTGAATAAACTATCGGATCTCAAGTGGGTTCCCTTCCCTTTTTCCTTACCTTTTCTTTTCGTTCCCAACTTAAGTTTTGCCCAAATATTACCGAATCGAACAGCTGTCTAATTGTCATGTTCGAACTCATTCAAACACAAGTTGTCTCTGTTAGATCCCTGAATAAACCTATGCCATGTTTTCTAGGTGGTGTTATGCAAATGGATCATCTAAACTTCATAGAGAGCGCATTTCATTTTGGAATTCAATGTTGTTCAAAAACACCGTCGTTTATTTGCGTGGTAGCAGTTAAGCTCCAACAGTTCGAGTCTAAGGAGTTCGATTGCTGTTAGCAGATTCGAATGGGAATTCCCAACTGCAAGCTGGAGAGGGGGCGGGAAACGTTTTTTGAGGCTTTCCACTCAATTGCGGAGCAAGAAAGAAGTTCCCACACCGGAGCCAGTGTGGGAAGAAGGAAGGGAAGAATGGTAAATGGTAAATGGGAAGTCGAAGTGACGTTAGAAAATGTGGTGGGCTGGGGCATCGTAATACCTCGTTCAGGATTTCAAAACAAAAAACTGCAGTGAGGATTGGAAACTCAATCAGAATCAGTACATGTAATTCAAGGCTCTTTCTGACTGCCATACGAACTCTATTCTCTGTACAACAGCTCATACATAGTTGTCAAAGGAAGCAGTTGTATAGTGAATCAAATATGGAATGAATACTGTTCCTCATTGTCGGCGTTACCCTTACAAATGACATTATCTGCACCAACTCAGAGCAAGGTTTGAGAGAACTCAAACCTGGCATCACATTATCACAACCATTTTGAGAGACTAGCTCAGCCAAGTCATGCTTAAAGGCACAGTCCACAATAATTCTAGGGTATTTGATTCAGACGAGAGGAAGTGATTCTAGGATGGTGCAAACAAGACGAAGAAAACGAAATTCGGCGTATTTAGAGAAATGCAAGGTTACAAAAAGTAGTGGAAGGGTTAGGGGTTGAACGAGAATCTGGTGACAGAACATGTATTGATGAGGTATTCGGACGAGCTGTCCAAATGTGTGTGCCGTTGTGTGCAGCTGGCTAAAGTAGCTGCCTGTAATGTGGCGTATTGCTGCGAATGGGCAACCTCTACAGCCCTTATAACGCAGTGGGAACGCAGCAAATCCACGCGGATATATTTTTGTGCAGCTACTCGGAAGATGTGCCCAAAAGTTGTGTTCATGCACCCTCTCGAGAATATCGAAATGTCAGTGACTCACTTTGTTTCCTGAAACGCTCTCCTTCTACTAGCACTGTCCGTCGCCATTGAAAGTTCCATTTAAATTTTTCTGTGTTTAGAATTCACGCCCATATAATGTTACCTGTGGACTACCCCAAACAGTTACCACTTTTTGGTGTCACGGTCACAAAAAATGGAACAAAAGAATCACCCCAGCAAGTGTTTACGTCGGCTGATTGCCATATTGTGAAGGTATATGAAATCCTAGTTCCTATGAAGGAACGTACTAAAAATTATTATCGGTATCTTTTTTCATAACGACGATTTCAGTCGCTGGAAAGGTATATCAATGTCATGACAGAAGAAAATGTTGACCTGGATTCTATATTATTACGACAATTGGCATATTTGACAAGTAGATGCGATGTTGTCGCCGATCTAGTCCCTCAGTTCAACTCCGGAAGTAACACACAGTGGCAGCATCTGTATAGTAGAATGTCGAGGTGAGTTCGATCGGTCGTTCTCCTTCATTCTACTCTCAATTCCCACTCATCTTTATTCTTTTCTTTCATTTCTCTACATATAAATCGTTACGCAATTGGGTCTTTTGAAATAAAAGGTAAAACAAAAAGCGGCCTTCGTTTTACCTTTCACTTCCTCTTTTTTTTTCTGATAAAAACAATTTTCAGAGGACGTGATGACGATCTCCCTTTTGCGTACTCTTCCGCAACAAACGCGTTCGCATTTCAATAGCTTCACGCCTATTTAGTATGTTGCTCTTGTTGCTGTTATTAAAATAATAAATTTTTTATAAAGAATTGCATACTGATTGGTTGCCCTCGACTTCCACCTGAGGCTTTCCATTTAATACATTAAATCACATGCTTATTTAAAGGTACACTACAATAACGGGATAATTCATATTTTTGNATGAAATGCAGGAGAATACTAGTCACAATAAAATTGATTGAGTCACGAAAGGATTCAGTCATAAAGCCAAGACGTCACGCGGAGGTCGCTCCCAGGACTTTTGACTGAGTTTTGTGTAGAGTACGTAAAGACTACCAAGGCGTGGGATCGCTTGCTGGGAAGTGCCGAGAGATGGCTGATCTATGAAGCGCAGGAAGTTCGAACTCATTTCAACAGAGAAGTCACTAAGTGAGATAGTTTCGCCATAACAGTAGAGGAGCTCTGGAAGCTGTCTCTGTTGCGAATAGGATCAGCTGCAGAATCATGGCGGTGAGGAAAGGCACGAAAAAGGATTAACGGACAGCAATTTTCGTGTACGCACCACGAACCGGCTGCCCCGAGTACGAAAAGGGCGAGGTCTATCTGAGCCTTGACGATGCCACTTGATCAGTTCCAGTAGGGGACTAGCTCATCATTCTAAGTAAATAACCACGTTATCAGCGATCAGGGAGGCCTAAAAGGGGACACCGATGAAGCTGGATTAGGAATAAAGGCAGCCATTCGTCTTTGGGATTCGCCCGTTCAATTGATAAGCTGTAGCTCAAAAAACACTCCTGATGGCTTGAGCAGGCGGCGAAACGTCGTCTACGTAAAGGCAGTAGAGGGCAGGCCTCTTTTTCAGAGTGTACTTTTCTAGATAGACGTGCACAATGGTTACCACTGGTGCCAGTCGGCGACTAATAGTAAATATCCTGAATTGCTCGAAGTCATGCCAGGACTGGAATATAGTGCAGCAAAGACATTCCTTGACCGTAGTCGTCACTTGAGAGACTAAAAGACCTTATATATTTACAGGCACTGCATACTCATCCGAAAGTTTGCAGGTGTCTGCGTGGCATTTGGCACATTTGTGTACAGGGAAGTCACCCCACGAAATTGAACAGCTATCACTAAGTATTCCTATGCTACTTGTTCGGAGGCGAAATCCAAGGAATCAAGAGAAAGTTTGTTCTATTGTCATAGATGACCCGGCGGACAGAGGTCTGCGCTTCAATGCTCAAATAGCTCAGTGGTCAACGCAGTCTGAACAAACCCTAATCAAGTAACATTGTTGCCGTTTTTATCCCTCTTCTAATGATGACCAATAAGAGAACACATCTTGTAAGTAGTACTGTGTTACGGCAATATCCAGATTCCATGGCCTAACCATGAACTACTCCCCGTTGTAGCTGATTGAAACCTTGGTGCTGTTCGAATTCGAAAGATTCCTGGGTTAGCTAACCCCGTTTTTGTGCTGTACTGATGTTGAAAATGGGTGGTAGGCGACTTTACTCCTCAAATTGAAAAAAGAGAAATTGCAAAAATGTAGAGCAATGCACCAACGACGGAATTAGGGTTTAGAATAATGACGGGAGGAGAATCGCGGAAAGGTCCGACCCTGCTGTATGTCCGTGACTATTTTCCCGATGGTAGGTGCGAAGGTTGTTCTGTGGAGCCTGAAGACCACCCAGAACTTCCGCGATACTGCCACCTATCGATTGTGTTGATGCGATCCTGGGACTTAAATTTAGATCAGAGAGCGCATTTTCAAAATGACTGATGTAGCCAAGATCAGTATCTCCAGGTGGTATGTCCAGGGGTTCCCAACTATGTACTATTAGTTCCAAGGTGGTGGCCTACACTCTTAGGGGCGAAATTTGGCGTTGTGGAGTACTCCTGCACTCCTCTACGACTACAAGTCTACTGAATTATTTGAAGTGTTAGATTGGCGCTTGAGATAAAATTACGAAAAATCCCTTTCAGACACAATCTTACTCCAATATCCTTGAAAACATCTGTTCAACAACGGGAATTGAACCCCAAATTTTCTTGGCTTCTAGACTCTTAGAATACCAAAACGTCAGACGAACACAAGTCGTAACATCTTGGCCAACGCTCTGACAGGACACCTTCTACCGGGTGTGGTGCGATTCACGCGTCAATTTAATGAGGTCACCGAACAAAACGCGCTAAAACATCATGCCTACCATCATAATGGACGAAATAAGAACTTATAAGTAAAACAAGTTTAAAAAAATGACCAACTATGCACGTTCAGAGGAAAAATGTGTTTTCTAGGGTCAAAAAATACGAAGTTATTCTTGCTTTGAACGTTTAATAAGTAAATTGTTGAACTATGAAGTGAATTCTTAAACTCAAAAGGGCTTTATTGCCATAGTACAGAGATTTGCTCTAATTCATGGTGAAGCCGTAAATTACTGCAAATCTTATTCGGTCCATTTCCACAGAATGGTAGTGAAGCGATGCTGCGTGCGCGAGACCTCTAATGGGGTCACGCGTGAATCGCCCCCCCCCCCCCCCCCNCCCCCCCCTTCCTACCCTTGATTCTTTTCTCATATTAGGCCAGAGGTAGCTATAATCACTAGCGGTTTACCGGTCTCACCTTCGCCATTCGCTATAATAACTAATAAGTATATATTTAGGTATCGGTTTATATTCCCGAAAATTACCTTTTTACAGCTACGCTATCAGTTATAGGCCCGATCACCATGCAAACTGATAGCGGTACTTTTTAGAACTAGCGGTCGTTTTTTTTGTTTTGAATGTCTGATGCTGTTTGCAATCTGCTTCTCCTCTACATTGGCCTAGTGGCTTAGTGTTCCACAGTACATAATTCTTATTCCCTTTCTAAGCTCTCTCTCTCCTCCCTTCTAACCCTCCCGCTTAGCTTATATTACTGCCTCTGTGCCAAATCGAAGCTCGGGGACGAGCTTACTGTAAGGAATGAGATATCGTACCCTCGCTATTCACTTTATGGGTGGACGAGGCAGTTGCCAGAAACCAGAAAGCGACACTGCTGAGGACGACTACATAAGCAGCTCTTTACTGTAAGCCGGCCTCGCTCGTCCGATTCCTCTACATCGATACTCCATGGGAGCTCAGTACGGGCGTACCTCTTCCTTTCACATTTGTCTTCTTTTCTCATGTGCGATGATGATCATTCTTTTCTGGGAGAAGAAAAGCGTTTGAAGTTTCCACGAATTCATGCCCAAGTAAGCTTTGACCCTGTTCCAACTGGGTTCAAGAAATGGGTGAAGCCGTATTTCATGGCTACGCGAGGTTATCATTGCTGGGCTTGTTCATGATCAGATTTCCATCTTCAAACATAGATGGACTCTCCTACAAGGTGCCGAAAAACCACCGAAAGCGCCCAGTTTGGTGCTAACGGGAATCCCCCGCACAGCCGCGCCGCATTCGACGAAGAGAATTTTAAGTGGACTGAACCGGAATCGCCCCTTCCCATACTTTAGCTGTTGTCGCTTTTCGATTTCCTCTGTAGAAATATCACAAAATGTCACATATTTCAGGTAATGCGGTTGTACATATCCTTATTAGGCATCTTATTGATGTTAATGAGTTGTAATGCTCAAACTTGGATGACTGGCGACAACTCAACCATAACAGGATGCAGGTATTGACCATTTCCATATTTCTTTTAAGTGTTTGTTGATTTTTGTATTTTTGGCTCAACTATTTTTTGTCATCTTATCTATTGTGGACTATAATTGAGTCGATTGATTACTGATTGAAAGTGCAAATCGATGAAAGTGTGGAATTGGGCATGAAAAGGGTTGGGATTAGACTCTGGGAAGCCCACTGCATACATCAAATTAAAGCTACTTTTTTCGTTTTTACTATGCTATCAGTCGTTTAAGAAACTATCGTATGCATGTAGTTGGCAAAGACTGGAAAGAATCTATCTGAACATTTACTATTCCATGGCCATGTAAGGTCTTACATAAATACCACATTGTGCTTCGAGTACGGGTACAATTTGCTAGAAAACGACCTTCAAATTCGGGTCATACCGACTTTTCCAGTGAATTACCTCGTGACAGTGGCTTAGGTCGCTGTGGGTAAGGCCTCAACCGTTATCAATCATTTTAGCACACACTGTGCCTTGAACGATGATGATTTATCGTGTTGGAATTCGACGGCAAACTTTTTTACCAAGCTGTTGATTGGACAGCTACGGCATTACATTGCTGTTCAGGTGATTTCACGACTTGAATACTAATCAGCTCTAGTAATCCCCTCCGAATCTAATGTCCCCTGCTTCAGGTAGATATAGATCAATGGCATCGACGACATGGCAAACCTGATGGTCAAGACATGGATACCGTTAGTTTGCTCTCTTTTAATTTTCCTTTGTGCTTTCTCTCTTTTTGCTATCCTGGCCAGAAGTACGTCATCTTACAGCCCATTCAGAGCTCCACAATAGAATCCCTCTATATATTTTAACGTTGTTTAGAATGGTGAAGGGTTTCTACAAAAGTAATTAGAGCATGTCTTCAGGTTGCAGCATCGATTGAAGAGTCCTTCTTTAACGAGCTTCATCCGAAGGACATACTAACAAATACGACTGTTATCAAAGTTGCTAAAGTGCTCAGTGATAGGATTCGAGACGTAGGTTTTTTTCTTGTTGGCAGTCAGAATTACGCTGACATCTTGTGAAGAAGCTCTTGTATATCGGGAAGCTGCTGCCCGATTTTTGCTCGGAAGATCCATAGCGATAAAATACGTAAAATAATGTCTCGCTATTTACCTTTTTTCAAATGATGAAATCTATCAAATGAGTTCTGCGGGCGGGATCGAGAATCTCTCTATTCTTCGAACCAGTTTTTTGTTATCCTGCTGCATCTTACCAATAACATTGTTCTTATTCTATATGAATGATTTCTAAGCGATTTGATGACAAAACTTCTTTTGTAGGTGTCAGATCACGTCATTACGTGGGTGCCGCATTTTCAGTGCCCGGTTCCATGTGAATACCGTTACAATAATTACAAGAACTTATTCATAGCATCGGTAGGGAGACATGTTAGGAAATTAGCATTGGAATTACGATTCGTCTAAAATCTGAGTGTTTCAGATGGTTTTAAATATTTGCCTTGTACTGGCCGTCATACCATTTATGATACGCCTTATTCGCCATGAACATGAGTGGGGTAGTGAATCGCGATTGATATCCACTTGAGGATGAAGAATTCAAGTAAGTCGCCCTTCTCTTTGATCTACCTAATTGATTGAATGATCTGACTCACTTTTTCTCGGTGTTTGCAGAGTTTTGGTATTTCTTTGGCTGAAGTAATGGTGTGTGCAGGCTGCATTGAAGGAAAGTGTTCGTCAGCTTTTTCTCACCTTTCATTCATCACTGCCTATTTAATCAAGCTAGTTACAAGAGTACCCCATAACTTGCACATCTGTATATAGCTATTTAGCCTTATCGACGTACAACGTCCCCTTACAAATTATTTTTAGTTATATTCTGTGATCAGTATGTGAATAACATTCCGCTTTAATCATTTGCTAGGCATTGCTTTACTACATATAGTATTAACAAGCTTTTTGCAGTAATCTAGTAATGCACCTTTTATGTTACCCATTTTTTGTTTTACAGAAAACATGCAGCGAAATAACCCTGTCGCTATTTTTGGATTTTAGCTCTAACTGATTGGGATTTTTTATTCCTTTGAGTAGCCCTATAGTCATTTATCGTTTTTAATGGATCGCTGTTTTTCCACATTTCAGTTTGATTCAGTGAATGGTACCCTAAAGGTTTTGAACGCGGTTGTCATTTATAGGAAATGCTTCATCTTGTTATTCCTGTCTACCTTGTTCATACTCATTTCACTTTGCATACTTTCCTCCGAGCAGTCTTTATTGTTTCCTTTGGTGGCTATCGCTTATTACTAAGCCTCTGTTGTTTGCGGCACTTCTCTTAATTTTTTTATGGGCTACTTATGAAATTTGCTCACACTGTTCGATTCCTCCTTGCCATTTTTTATGAATAAATGAAGTATTTCTTGCCTCTGATGTTGTGTCAACTTACGAGCTTTATGCTAGGTGTTCAGCCTCAACTGCTATTTGAACATCTGGAACGATTTAATGGAATAGTTGTATACGTTAGGTGTGTCTTCGGGAGCATAGCGATCAGTCACTTAGTGAAACCGAAGCGGTGGTACTGCCCATTCGTTATCGTTTCTACTGAATGTTTCCTTTTGATTGTTTCCTTCTCAAGAGTGTGGTGCTTTTACGTACGGTTTGTGCTACTGATTAGGGAGGCATCACAATAGAGGGGAGCATGTTATCACGCAATTTTTCACAGGCATTTCTTGAGACATCACATAGGTCACCCAGTCTATGGCGGATTCTCGTTTTTGTGGTTAAGCCGAAATATAGTCGGCGGAATTCTGACATTCCTCTTTTCGAGAACGAAAAAGAGGGCTAGTGACTACAATCGATATGGGTCGATATTGTTGCTTATATTTTAGCAAATCTCCTAGGTACCACCCCCCCCCCCCCCCCTCTACTCCCTACAGTTTGAGCGCTTAGTATAGAAGGTGACTAGTAAGCAAATAGCTTTGGTAGATACCATTTTAGTCAAGTTCCCACGATACCTCCTTAAATTCGTGAAAGTCTCAACTCACAAGAAAGATATGAGTACCGAGATGTTTACACAATACATCAATACCGACTGGTATCGATTATTCGATGTTGATCTCGATTGAAGGCCTTATCGTACCTCTTCTTTTTTCGTTAATCCTTTACATCTTGGGGAAGCGGAGCTATGAATTTATGACAGACCGAAAAACTTTGGAACATAATTTCCAAATGAGGTGTATCTTTTGGATACAGCCTACGTTCATCACGCTACTCCTTCTCGTTCTCGGATGTCTTGATCCAAGATTTTGCAGGCAGACAAGTTGGTTTAGGGTAAGGAAGCACGGTACTGGGGTTATAATTCCAGCTTTTACGTGAAAAATCTTTCTTCATCGAAATACTTACTTTTTGGTAACGGTAATGCATCTAGACCGCTTGTCTGCTTCTCCCTTTTGTGATTTCCTCTTCCAAGATATAATAGAAATATACCAATTCTTCAGGCATCATGGAGGAATCGGATAATCTTCTGATGCTGGCAGATATGGCAAAACTAGATTACGAAGAAAGGCCGCTCAACTGGGGTTTCAATAACCAGGAGGTAAGATAGGACTGTTTTTATGGACGTTTTTAAAGTTTTAATGAGTTTGTAGATAGAAACTCATCTGAAATGAGAGTAAATTTTCGTCGTTGGCCCAGTTGTACTTATTTTAGAGTGAGCCAGCTACATCACAAGTGGATGCATTTGACCATTGTTATTTACCTTCTAATGATTTCGATCGCTTCGTGAATTCTACACATGACTACTATTATCGTGTAGGGCAATGGGATTTGGACGAACAAGAGCATTCCTATGCGTTTCAAGTCCCTTCAGGAGTAAGTGTTGGAGCGTTGATCTGGTGTGCTTCGTTTTTGAAAGTAACGCTACTTTACTGAAGCGGCAAGTATCATTAATCGTAGTCGTCCTTATTTTGAACATTTTTCTCTTTCGTCTCGATTATAGAAGTGAGTAAATTATGACGTATTTCAGTCTGCAAATGAAGGCTACGAATGGATAGGATACGAAGACGCTGCAGTAGCATCTTCTTCCACTCCTGGTGTGGTCAGTTCAGTCCTTGTTGTCTCATATGGTCATTTCATTTTTTGGCATCTTTGGTCTCGGTGGAGTAGAACCCCTTCACCATTTCCTCAAAAGTTTATGTGCTATTTTGCTCAGCAGCTTAATCGTCAGAAGAGGCTACAATTGTACTAGTGCGTCCGTGAACAACAATGGATTCAGCATTACACGATTCACGAGCCGCGCTGTTGCATTCATATTGACGACGCTAACTCTGAAGTCGTTGTTGGCTGCCGATCGTTATCCCCCAGATCGATGACTCTACTAGACAGCAAACGAGGGGTGAACGATTTGGATCAATATTTATGTGGGAAAATGGACATAGCTTCATAATTAAGCGGAAATCAGTTGGCATGAGTAGTAGGCAAGAGCTGGCAAGAGGAGAAAACAACATTGGCTCAGCGTCTACCTCTTTTATTCTACTTGGAAATAAGTGGGAGAATTTCACTGCTCAGAGGGAAATTTGAAGCCCCGAGATTCATTAACGGAAAGTATCAAGGGTGCTGCCGGACATGTCATGATGAGGAGGATTCTAAGGGTGAGAAACGCTTTTAATTGGACCAGAATGGCTCCTGCTGGTACTTTAGCGACATTGAATGGAATTAGGTTGACTGCTGACCCACCTATCAGCAAAGCGGGTGAAAGGAACATTGGCTCTCGCCACAGTTGAAGATGGACGTCACCGGTGTGCTTGAGCGAACCGATAATTGAAAGGTCGAAAAGTAATGGAGTAATGGATTGCGTCTTTCCAATTCTAATTTGAAGGCCGGCTGTAATTTGGCATGGAAAGTCGAAAGGTACTTCCGAATTCCTGCTCTTCCTCTCTTTCTTCGGCAAATTTAGACTTCAGTATAGGTGGTCGCTTAAGGTAAAACGTACACGGCCGCGTGTATTTTTTAACGTTGATTTCAAATCTGCATTGCAAATGTGCGAAGCGATTCGAAGAACACAATTACGGAAGCACTTCCTAACCGGCGCAGGGGTGGTGGCAGCTGGTAGGATGGTAAAATTACAGACGTCTGGTTGCGTGTTCAATGCACGTGCTTGGATTTGGTGCATTTGTATCGGTCGAAGTCGACCTCTTTGATGGAAGCCTCAATTGAAAGGATAAAAACGATAAGATACTTTCCCAAAGCTATTGAGTGAAAAATATCCGTAGAAATTGTGTTCCCTTCTTCGAAAGAAACTGTTCCCATTTACTGATTCTTACTTGATCCCGTATGAGAGCTTTTTATTCTGATTACGTCAGGAGGATGTTTATGATCCTTATTCATAATGGGTGGGTAAATGTTGATCTCAAAGCTTGGAATTTATGCTTAAGTTTGACTTTTTAGCCAAGTTTTATGCATTTTAACCATGTTGTTGAATAGAGGAGTAAAGGAGAACAGAAGATCCTTCTATAAGTGTGTTCACTTCTATATATGTTACAGTCTCCTTAATAACTGAGCGGCTGTCGGGATACCGGCTACTTATGATTACGCTCCTTTGAGATATGCATGTCAATATTTATAAAATCTTTGAGCTGACCGTAACAGTTGTAACCATGACTCGTTGTTGTTAGACTTACAATGTTGCCCTTCTAGCATGGTGTTGTCCTGAATACGCACAACTGCCAGTGGGGGACATGTTCACTCGGTTTCGAAAACTTGGAAGATCTTCAAAAGCATGCAGGTCTGCTTATATATTTGGAAACAAAGTTACTTTAACACAAGGCTATTGCTATTTTCAGAGGCTCACCTTATTTCTACCAGTAGGCAATGTCTGTGGCGAGGGTGCAGCAAAATGGAGCGGCGGTATGCCCACAGGTAACATCCTTGTTCTTAGTTATTGGAAGATCGTTCCTATGTTACTGAAAGCCTGTTTATTTTATAGTTCAAGGACTGCTCTGAGCAGATGAGGATAAGTCTTGGAAATGTAACCATTCAGATACTTACTTTCCCGACACTTGAGATCACATACGGGCTGCACTCCATTCGCCTGCGATCAATGCAGCAGTCAGTTTGCAACGAGAGAGAGGTAAGGCTTTACTCGCAGTGGAGAGACTCTTTTTCCATGAACTGTAGCTAGCTATGTTTGGCATTTTGTTAACAGCGGTTGCTTCGCCAAAATTCTTCTTACTCTTATCCACAGATTTCAAAAATTAATTGATAAGTGTTTATGATTTCCTTTGACAAATGCCAAAGATTGAGCCTTCAGATTGCGGCTACATACGCGAGCGGTTCATATGCCAGAAGTGAAATACATGTGCGAAGTGTGCGACCGTCTGTTCAAAACGACTTCTGAGAGGCGACATCATATGACACGAATGCATATGAGTGAGTTCAGATATATTAGCAGAAGAGTTTATCCAGAGCTGTTCTTGTCGATTTCCAGAGGAGCGTTTGGTATGTCGGCACTGTGGAGGACTCTATTCGGGTAGATCTGTTCTGAGTCGTCATATGAAAGTATGTAAGGAGAAATAAAGATGTGGTATTTTGTAGCCTGATTCGTTCAGTTTCCTTTATATCACAGAAAGTCGTCGGTAAAGGAACAGCTTTTATCAGGCAGAAATGCCATGTGGCCGCTTTTATATTCATTGCTTGGTATTCGTAGAAGAACAGCTTGTGCATGAGCTTCAGGTGTGTTGGTTTATGTGATTTATTCCTTTCATTTGTAGGTAGGTTTAATTCGTTATTTAGTTTGCTTCAGTGGAACGGAAAACTGTATTGGATTGTGCGGTGTACGTGCATTTTAAATAAGTTTAGTACAGTACTTCCCACTAAGAGCTCCTATGTAACCAATGATGTGGCAGATGCCTCGGTGGTCGTATTGGCTAGGTGGGGAAGCGGTGTTGTACTTTCAGCAGACCTCTGCTCATAGCACTGAGAACTAAACGCTGTAATGCCTTATAGGTATCGAATCAGTGCTCTAAAGTAATACGTGGTTATAGCTTCTTTTCCATGTTCAGCAGTTGTCGCTTGCTTTCCATGTAGCATTGTGAAAGGTGTTCGGCTTAACGCATGCACATCGTGGATTGTTGAGGTTATCTAACAGGCAAAGTAGCATAATCTAACTGATTTTTCTTTTTTTACTTCGATATTCATTGAGCATGATCTCTTTTCGTTCCAATCCATTTTCTTCTTTTTTTGATTGTCAAGTGCCTTACCCCTTTATTTACGACAGAATGAGTGTATGCTGTTCATAAGTAAACGCATAGGCACTCGAAAATATTAGAACTGATACCGCAAACTGCTAAATGGAACCGTAAATGGACTAGCTACTCACGGGGTTACTAGTTACTTAGATAGCAGCTTTCCATATTCTACGCTCTAGAACTTTGAAGTGAATAAGCAATGGGAGGGTCTGTCGGTGGAGGAAGGAAGAAACCGCAGGGTTCTTTCAGTTGATGGTTCAGCCGCCATAAACGCCCACCAGAAGTTCGGACTAGTAGTGCTGTGAAGAAATATTCTTTCCTTGAATGTCACGTATCCTTTGCTGTTTTTACTTACTGAAGGAAGAGTGTTCCATTGAGTTTACTGTAGGTTATGCTTTGAAGCGCTATCCGCTGTGTTTTGCCAACTATACTACCGTAGCATGACCATTTTCGTCCTTGATTGAATTTAATAACAAAAGCAGTGTACGGAATAGAGAGCACGGTGTCCGGCTAGCACAAGTACGGATTCAGAACTCGTCCGAGGCCGAAGTTTTGTACGTAACCCGCCAACTTCAAGAGGGAAGCATTTTCATTCCTTCAAACATTTCATAGTAATGTATGTAATTTTTGTCCTCGACAGAATATGGTGTCTGGCATATAGCGTTAGGCAGGTTGAATGCAGTGTTACCTCTGACCTGATATACAGCACCCTTGATAGAAGATATTTATTAATATTTATGTAGCCTTTAGCCTGCCTCAGGATGTGAATCGCATCCATTGCTAAAGACTAGCAGGGAGAAGGAGTACGGCAGAAGGCCTAGAATGCACAAGTTTGGGCTCGAGTCGTTTCCATGACGAAGCGTTTGTCAAACTCGCCATCCTTGTGAAATACTCGCATTGCTCACTGCGGCAAAAAGGAGTAGTTGACTAGAATCTAATCGAAAAATCAGAATAACAGCTCCACGGTTCAATGCCGATACTGGCTGACCCGCTCATTGTGATGTACGTATAAGTGCTGGTGAATCAGAGCTGAAGTACCATCAAGAAGGATGTTGAGTCTTGGTAGCGGGAGGGAAAAAGAGCGCAGTACCAGAAATCACACTATGGGTCCCTTGTCCTTAACTCGCTATCAAGTGGACTGAATATTTCACCTTCTAATTCCTAGACTGCAGTCTTGTTACGAGAGAATTCGAATCCTGCACTTCGGGAGCGCCTCGGAAGCAGAATTCGTTGCTAGTCTCTTTGTGACAATGAGGTTATGTGAGTAGTGCACTCACAGCCATTGTGTAGATAATTAGAGTCGTCCATCTAGTGGAAATGATCCCATTCCGATAGAGGGCAAAACGAGATGCAAGTATTGCCCTCGTTGAGATAGGCTCAGCAAAGGGAATGGGAAGGACTACGTGAAACAAGAGGGCTGTTCCCTGGGGATCTCCAAACGAATACGAACATTCTTCATCGATACACGAGCGATGACAGCAGTATTGATGGGTTTAGCGTCACGGGAACTGCTTCGCCGGAAGGATTCCAATTGAGGGCATAGGAGACAAATGCGTTTTACTGCCTATGTCTAAGAGATGGATGAGCAGCTAAGATTTCCTATCTGGGATTTTCAATTCCTGGCTCATGCTCATAATCGCTTTAAAGAGGCAAATGCCATAAGTCTGGGCTGAACCCATCAGGAAAAAGACATAGAGAATCAAGAAATGATCCGACGTCTGGCAACACTGGCGACGTGTCATGCACTTTACAACCCAGAGAGATTGGGAGAATATGTCTGGGCAGTGTTGGTTTATTGTGAACTTCAGGATTCTTGTCACCTCCATTCACACTTCTGAAGCAGTGCTAAGCAGGAAGCTAGGCTTTTGATAAGTGGAACTCGTACACAACCTCATTGTGAGTGTAGATCTCTCTGGAACAAAAGAACCCCTGCATTGCTTTTTTTTTTCTTTTTTTAGTCCATTTTGCTATCTATCAGCTCATACTGATAAGAGTGACCCTGCTTGTTTATGGCATGATTTGACCTTTTAGCTTTGATTATCTATTCAGATTTGGTATTTACCTCCCTGATTGCTTTGAATACGTGCGACTTACCTTCCTCGAAACGACCGGCACAATGTTGAAGGCAAAGGAACAAAAAGGAGTTCCAGTACAGGCTCGTCTCCTACAGTGTCTCGTCTCGTACTCGTCTCTTACAGTGACTTTGCGGTGAAATATAATGCAATGTACGTATTGCAGCATGAGCACTCATGTCGTTCAAAGCTGGATTACTGTAAGAGCATGATACCCGTGTAGAGCTTTTGTTATAGTGTCAGAGGTCACGCAATCGGTGGGAGGAAGCAGTGGAGTCTGGAGAATTTTTATTAGTAGCTGTGATATCGAAAAATCTGCTGTGTTTTCAAGAAGAACATTTCCCCAAATTGTTGACATGTGAGCAAGCTGTGCGACTGTTGAGGCATGTTCTGAAAAGACCACAGAATCATCCGATAAGGGAGGCAATGGAGTTCGAAGCTCAAGGTAAGCGACCACGAGGAGCACCAAAGAAGAGATGGCGGCATGTGATCAAGAAAGATTTCATCGAAGCTAAAGTAACTACTGAAGATGCCGTGGATAGAAGAAAGTGGAGACGGCTGACCAGAACAGCGGACCCAGGGACTGACGCCAGGGAGAGGACGAAGGAATGTGAGCAAACTGCGTTAGATCACTGGCTTGGAAATGCGATCAAGTTCGACCAAACTTGGCCTCCAGGGCGCCCAGTGTTGGTATATGTATGTACAGGAATATTTGTTGGGAGCATGTGGATGTGGTCGATTTTATAATACTTCTCAAATGTAACCTTGTTTACACTACGAGTGGTTTTCATTGGTGAAATGGTGGGTGGACATTGGGAAAATAGGCTCATCCTCCCATATCCAACCACCATTTCACCCCCGAAAACTGGGAATACTAGTTTCCGGAATTCATTGAGTAAGCCACATATGCATTCAAACACGACTACAATTCTGAATGGAAGTCGTATGCATGGGCGAATCCCACCAGAGGGATTGACTTGGTTTGTACATCATATGCTTGGATAGAAAAGGTTTAATGCAATACACAGATACTGAATTCAGATTACATTAATGCACGAATAACGCATTGTAACACAATGTAGGACATAATAATGTAATGTAATCGCCGGGAGGCTGCATGGTGACGATGGTGTACTGTAATTATGTTAGCCAAAAAAATAGCCAAAAATATCAGTAGCGATTCAGAGAGGATGATTCAATTAGAAAGAAAGCCACAATGACGACATATCAATAATAAGATGGACAAAATGGCTGTGAACGGTTCAATTGGGATAGCATTCGGTAATAGTTGTGCGTAGAGCATTTTCCTTGGTGTTCTGGAGCGAATAATACGACGGCGATGACCAGAGTTCAGACGCTGATCTGTTGCTGTGGTGGTGGCGTCGATTTTATCTCACCAGTAATCGGATTTCGTGCTGAAATTTTTGAAATCAGAAAAATTACGATCCCTATGTCTGGTTGAAAGGAATAGATGGCCGCCGTGACAGGATATCTATGGGGTTTCGTCATTCCCGTTTGCTTGGTGTGGTGTGGGCCATTATAGTGCGATCGAATCGGTCACACACACCCACAATCGCAGCAACGACGACGCACATTTCGGAACTCATTAGACTGGGCGCTCGTTTGGCTCATCACCATCCTCAGAAGCACCAAACGAAACGAAAATTCTCGAAATTGCGGTCATGATCGTTCAGCCTATAATAGGCAGCAGCGGAAGGCTGGCCCCGGAGCCAGATGCTATTTACGGCCGTTGTTGCTCTGATGAGAATCGTTTTGGTGGATGGGTCGGGCTTTAGATGTTATAAACAAATGAATATTACATAATGTATAGGGTTAGTAGGCTTTATTAGGGGTACAACGCCCAAATTTTGGCAATACCTTTACAACCTGAAGTGGGGTTTACTAAACGGCCTGATTTTGCGATTCTTGTCATTGGGCCCAAGTTTTTCTGTTATTATCCATGCTTCCTAACTAGAAAAGGTGTGAAGGATTGGGATCTTGCGTAATCCGACNAATCCGACTGATAATTAATGAAAAATACTCGGTAACTACTGGTATTGTTTGACAAGTGCCCACCCTCTGCCTTGCAGTTCTTTTACCTAGGATCGTCTGGGAGAAACTTAATCGCTATCCTTAATTCACTTGTTCGGAAGTCCTCGTGTTAGGTACTCGGGAAGCCAAAAGGCTGGAAATCCACTATGTCTGAGACAAAGCTTAGTGAGCTGGAGATTCAACATGGATCAGAGCTGGTAGGAAC